ACGCTTGCGTGCTTGAACGTTTGAACGCTTGACGGTCCTGCACATCAAGAAGGAAGAGCAAGTCAGTCAAGTCCGTCGACGTGCAGGTCCAGCGTCATAGTCAAGATCTTCGACGTCACAGTCAACGATTCGATTCGATTCTTCCGTCCCGTCAGCGTCAACTTCGACTTCGAGCCCACCCGTCCATCCGTCCACCCGTCCGTCCATCCGCGTTCGCGCGTCTGCGTCATCATCGAGCATCGCCATCGCCAACGCCTTCGTTCGGACGTCCCACCTCCGTCCCGTCCCGTATCGCTGATCTTCCGCCCACACCCAATTCCGTTCCGCATCCCACCACACCCGACGCCGAAAAAAAAAATTGAAACGAAAAAAAATACAACTCACCAGTGAAATAAGAAACCAGGATGTCTTCTTGAAAAAGACGGTCCAAAGTGCGTATGGCGAGGCGGTCGACCTGTACCGACAAAACAAGCAAGCAAGCATGTTAGCCAGTCAACTCTGCGTCTGAGTATACACCTCGGTCAAGCGAACCAATGAATGAGTGAATGCCCCGTTCGTTCGTACGTCGTACGCCCCTATAGCTAGCCCCCGCTCCTCATCGGGAGTGAACGTTGGACAACCCAGCGTAGCGTAGAGAGAGAACAGTCTAGCGCTCCAGCGCTCCTAGCCCCAGTCAATCAGCACACAGCGCACAGAGCACAGGGCCCCACGCGAACCTCCACCGCCGCCGCCGCCGCCCCAACAATAGCAACAGCAATAGCGAGCACCAACGAGCGCGAGCCGCGGCTCCACCCCGTCAAGCACCCAGCACCCAGCACACGATACACTATCCTTTCCTATCCGTCCCTGTCCACCGCGTCCCCGACGCACCGAACTTCCAACATCCAACATCCAACTCCCAACCTTCCTTCGCGTGCTAGTGCGTCTGTCCCGTCCGACTTCCCTCGCGTGTGCGTGCACCTCCGAGCCGAGCCCCGAGCCCCGAACTCGGAGGCTGGGGTTGGGGCTGAGAACGGGGGGTGGGTCTGGACTCTACACTCACACCACCCGCGTCCCGAGTGAAGGGACGAATGGGACGACTGGAGTGAAGGGACGACAGCACGGCGGACGCCTCTGGCATCGGTGGCGCGTCCACCCAACCACGTTCAGCCCATAGGAGGACGCGCCACGTACGGGTGTGCGCATGTGGGCGCGTCAACAGCACCATGTGCACTGCGGCGGGCGCAGGGCGGCGGGTAAAGCCCGCGTCGCTCCCACCGCGTCCGCCCATCTCCTTCGTGCACACGATCTACTGGACCACAGCCCTAGCGAACCGTGGACGCGTAGCCCTCCATCCCCGAAGCCCACACACCACAGCGCACACAACCCGCATCCACCCAGAGCAGCTGCTCGCTCGCGTCCCAGCACGCGAGGGACACATCCCTCCCCTGCACCACGCCAAAACCGAGAGAAGGGGGGAAGGGCGACTCACCGAGTGGTAGTTGTAGAGGGACGAACGAGGGAGTGAATGTACAGTAACGCGCGGTGGTGGTGAAGAAATAAAGAAAAAAAAAGATTATCTAAATGTCGAAGGTCGTCGTAGTCGGGGGTGTCGTGTGTTGTGGTGAAGTGGTGAAGGGAGTACGCGCGTTGGTGTCGGTGCGCGTGTGCGGTTGGCGTCGTATACGTTGTTAGTCGGGCGGGACGCAGCCAGTCAGCCAGTCGGTAGGTACGTGTCGGGACGCGGCGGGCAGAGGACAAAAGCGAAAGCGTGTGTCGGGATGAAGGGGGACAAAGCTCAGGTCAGGTCTCGATCCTCCCTCCATCCAAGCCCCATATAAAAAAAATTATCGCGATGACCCCCTTCCCCCCATGCTTCCCTTCCCTGCACCCAGGCGCTTTCTCGTCACCCATTGGGCATCTCTTCCCTCGCTAGTGCCTAGTGTGGGAAGATCTGATCGGTAGAGAGGATCGAGATCTGGGTATTTGGGGGGTTATTTAATTGGGTTATTTAATTGGGTTATTTGTTTAGGTTATTTAATTTGAATTGGGTATTTACTCGCTATTAGATAATACTGGGATAATGCGCCGCCGAGCTGGAGGGAGGTTGCTAAGCTCGATATTAAATAAATTAGTATTATGGAATAACGCTGGTAAATGCTCATCCCCGCCGACTCCTCGGCATTCCCCCATTGATCGTGAACGGCGGTCGGGCACCGGAGCGGGCCCTCGGCCTCGAGGTGCGCTTTTCCCTCTTTGGGCACCAGTTCACCTCAGAACTGGTCATCCCTGCATCGGAGTCGGTTCTAGCAGCGTTACGTTTACCGTAAGAAAGTATTGGATGCTGTGAGGAGGCATGTGCGCCTGTTGTATTACTTACAGCAGATAATAGGAGACAAAGGAGAATGGGGAATGGGGAACTCACCTCACACCGACTCATTGTGCATACAATGTGGAATAACATACTAGAATGGTTGTTAGAAAAAACACTCGAGAACGTTTAATGTCGGGTGCGTTTTGTCTTCTAGCGCCTGCGGGCAAGTGAGCCGGAGACCGGCACAGGCGTAGGATTATGGGGAGGGGGTCCGCTCCCGGCTGTCCTAGCCTCGTCCGCCGTCAATGGGGAATTTTAATATTAATGGTAAGTGCAGGTCACGGTTGTGGGTGCTCAAGTCCGCCGTGAAAAAGGAGAAAGGACAATGCACGCCATACATTGTCGACGTAGTAGAGGTGTGGGCGTCCTGATGAGAGCATTCGGATCGCCCGTTGAATGCAAGCCGGAGGATGCCCGCAGAGATCAAGTACAAAAACGAAGACGGTGCGCACGGAACGTGGATTCATGTACGCGTGCCTCTACTTCGTCCTTGGGCCTCGTTCGCTGTGCCGGCGCCGACGCAACCTAATCCTAAATGCACCACCGCGTCGGTCCTCAGGCCTCCCGCCTAGCATATTGTACCATCCTCGAGGCCCATTCAAGAAATCATAATTCTTTCTTGCTCTAGCTCCGAACTTACCGCTCTCCGTCGACGTCACCCTACATGATCAATGCGCCGCCTACACTCGGTCGACGCGTCCCCAAAACTCAGCTGAATAGTTGAAAAAAGGACAATGCGCTCATCAATAATTGTTCACGCTCTACGAGGAGCGCCAATTGCCCTCCCTGGTCTGCAGGCGCTTCATTTTCGATACCGAAACCCAATCATTGGCACCCACCCACGCGCCCATTCATCTCCGTCCTGCGTGCCCGCCACTTCTTCCTCCGAGTGCGGTGCCGCTCTTTCCTTGCCTCGCGCCAACCTAAAACCACGCATTGGCATCGCCTCGGAGCCGACCCCCACTCCCGGGTCCCGCCTTCCAGCTGGCGTCCTCGAGGGCGCCTTGAGGCCCTTTTGAGTTTACTTTTTCTTTTCGTGTCTTCGGAGGAGTGCCTCGAGGCGGATCCTTTCCGAGCGCTTAGATCCTTGTCTCATTCTTCATCACCCCAATTATCCTCGACGCGGATGTCCGGCTCGGACGCCCACAATTTCTCGATAACGGAAGTTGAAGGTCGAAGATAAGGAGGCGATCATTATTGTACACACGCAGGCGACTGGGAAAGGCAGTTGTGGGCGCTAGTAGAGTAGCACCCCAAATTGTGGAATTTGGAAATGTGAAATACGCCAGCAACCAAGACGGTGAATGGAACGTGTATTAATATATTGAAGCCTATTGACCTTTGACTACGAAGCGGCCCGTCCACGTCGGGGTGTTGGACTTTAATAACATTCCGTGCCAAAGGACAATGGGACTCGGAGACGCCCGTGTGGATGTTCGACGAATTCACGACATGCCGATAAATTGAGGGTCCCGGTCTTTCAGGTTGACGAAATTTACATTTTCTGAATCACGGGCTCGCGACGCTGGCGTTTGCGTTCAACGCAAGAGGACAATGACCGCCACCCGGTCAGCATTCCATCGCTTTCGTGCCGCAGTCTCCGGCACTGGTCCATCTACTTCCGCACCGACGACGGAGATTCAATATTCAGGACGCGTTCAACAATGAGCGTGGTGAAATGATCACCGATTGTGCTTGCGAAACGGCCCGTCTATTCAACCGCGCTGGCAGCCATCATTCCACCTCGACGCGTCGACGCGTCTAGTCCCTATCCCGTTCTGCCGCACCTTCTCGCGACGCGCTCCTACCCATCTTCCTCATCAAAATATAGAAATAAACACAATTCGTTCCATCCAATTGGATCGTAGCACGCGTTTTCGATCGCCTAAGCAGGGCGGATGAGGTCATGCGGTGCGCCCGCCGATCCCGCTTTGGTGTCGATCCCTGATCTTCGTAGACCCTTCGCCATTTACCTCTTGTGATGAAGTCCCTATTCGTCGAAACCATTTTGGACAAGTCCCTGCACGTCCAATTTCCATCGAGAGGTTCCTCGCGCGAGCGTGCAGTGAGCTGCCGGATATCAGCGAACAAGTACAGAGCAAACCTTCCCAATCCCAACACTCGGGCCCTCTTGTCTTCATTTCTGTTCCTGCCCTCGAATTGGAGGGGCGCCTTGCAAAATTGAATGTAAAGGCCCTGTTGGGCAATGGGAGAGGTTCGTCAAGCGCTATAGCTGCCAGGTGCGTCATGTGCGTCTCCGTTGTCGCTGAAATAATAAGACTCATCCATGTCGACGCACTTCGCTCGGATCCACTACAGTTCTACACCCTTCGAATTTCTGCAGCTTCTTCGACCTAACCATCAAAAGGTCAACTCCCTCAACGCCCTCCTACTTTGCTTATTTCCTATGCCTTTCTCAGACTCTCGCTCTCACACCCTATCCATCATCATCATGTGTCCAAGGAGAGGGCGAAACCCTCCGCTCAATTGTCGCCCTCTTCTCTCTTCTCTCGGGCTCTGTGCAAGTGACATTTTCAAGTTGTGAATACCTTCGAAAAGGCGCTTCTCCCACCTATCAACCTCTTCCAATGCCCTTCTTCCTCAAACTGAACGCCACATATACGGACGCCCATTCGGCACGCGGGGTTGTCGGAGTTATTTCCCCGCACTCGTGGGCACTGTCGCTTTCGAAGCCTCAAAAAACGACAAAACAAGCACTCGGACTTTGTTTTCTCTACACTCGTCTCCCTTCTCTCGAGGCTGCCTTGCTATTACTGGCTATCATCGTGCTTGTATGCGGTATGTACGACTCGTAGAGGCGAAAATCCCCCGCTCTCTTCTTCCGGGCTCAATGATCATGAAATTTGGGCGTCCTTCGACATCTGCCTTCGAG